TTGTGTTTTCTGACTTGTTATAATGTTTTCTGAATTGTTGTTGTGCTTTCTGAATTGTTATTTTGTTTTTTAGACTTGCATTTGCGTTTGTAATTTGTTATTTTGTTTTCAGAATTGTGATTTGCTTTGCACTTCACGGCCACCGTAGATAACCACAGGGAACCGAGAACAAATGATTCGCGCGCCTTCATAGTTCAATTCAAGAATCAGTTCGAGTTCGATCGATTCACTGAAGGTTTCGGGATGACGTCATGTTTAAAGCTCCACGCGGCGGTGGGAGGAGCTTAAGAGCGAGTTCGGCTTTTCAAAACAAGTTTGGGAAGTACAGTGAGAGAAACCGGTGGCGAGAGCTCCGTCTGATAATGCACTGGGAGCAGCTGCTGCGAGCGAGGAACGGGAAGGTGAGTGAGGAGCACAGTCTCTAATCTCCGCTGCCGATATTATAACCGGTTCGTTGCCGGTGAATGTGTTACGGTGGAGGAGATCCGGCGTGTCACTGTGTCACCGATGTGTCATTCTGCCTCATTGGTCTGTCTTCTGTAACATGTTTCCCTTCACGTCCGCTTGACTCACGTTCTGCTCTGCTTGAGTAACAAGAGACTGAAATATTGTAGCGCAGGATCCCGATTTTTTTCTGCACCTTTAATATAAAATGTAACTTTTTATCTGTATAAAAAAACACAATATTTCATTATCTTGTGGTGTGATATCAACCCATTAATTAATATTTATTCAAAACGTTAGAAATGTGGTTAAGATGCTTTCACAGACCCCTTGTTTTAAACCCTGGTGTTGTTTAATGGGAGTTATTATTGCTCATATATGGGTCAGATTAAACACTGCTGTCTGACAGACCTAGACTATATGATCAGACAGGCGCTTTATCGCCAAATCTGACTGTACTGACCTCAATATTCAGCTCATTCTGTCTGAACGGATTGTTTAACTGTGAGGTCGACACATACTGTACAGGCAGTCTTGTGAGATATGATTTGATTTTCCCTGTAAGAAGTGTTGAAACGACCATTAAACAAGTTCAGTTTGCCTGAAACACCAAGTTGTGATGAGATACTAAGACCAGTTTTCAGCAAATGTACTTTGAATGTGTATGTAGTTAACAAAAACAAGGCAATGTAGTCTCTTAAAATGAAAGTGTGTGTGTGTGTGTACTTGTTTATGCTACATTGTGGGGAGCAAATGTCCCCACAAGGAGAGTAAAACCTGAAATTTTTGACATTGTGGGGACCGGCCTGAGGTCCCAACGAGGGAAAGAATGATTAAAAATAGTAAATGATGTTTATCTGAAAGTGTAACAGTGCAAACAGGTTTTCTGTAAGGGGTGGGTTAGGGGATAGAAAATATTGTTTGGTCAGTATAAAAGTAATAGAAGTCTATGGAAAGTCCCCACAATTCACAGATACCTAATGAGTGTGTGTGTGTGTGTGTGTGTGTGTGAGTGTGTGAGTGAGTGTGTGTGA